ACTGCCCCAAGTCCATATCCTGATGCGTTCGTCTCTACCACAAAGGTCTGAATGAAATCCGGTAGAGCTAAAACTGGTACTATCGTCATGGCCTATTTCAATTTCTCAAAAGCCTGAGTTGCTGCCTCTCCCCATAGGAAGTTGTCCTTCAACTGGTCGGTCAACGGCCAGGTAATGGAGCTGTACCCCTTCACGAATCGCCGATAGTACCCCGTCAACCCAAGCTCCTTTATGTTCCTAGGCTTTGGCCACTTCTGCATTGCCTCAATTTTACTCATATCTACTGCCACTCCTTCTTGGGACACCACATGTCCCAAGTATTCCACACTAGTCTGGGCAAAGCTGCACTTCTTCAAATTAGCCTTTAAGTGGTGCTCATGTGATGCATTTAAATTTTTTTGCATTATTTTTGTTATGAACAATATTAGTTATATTTTCTATTTTTGTTTTATTTTTTTATGCTATCCAATGATGGTGGTAAATCAAATGATCATGGTAGGAAAAGGTTTGGATTTTGCTTCCTTGGGTTTGCCGGCTTTGGGGGTCCATTTTGTCCTTTGGTTGTTTGCTGGTTTCATGTGGGCCTTGGCTGTTTTCGGTTTGAGCTTTAGTTGTTAAAATTCTAGTGGTGCCAGCTCATTAATATCTAGTGGAGGTGTAGCTCATTATGAGCTGATGTTTAGTTATAAAATTAATGTTTGGGAGCAAGATTTGGTGGGTGGAACTTGTTCTTTCATATTCTTCTTGAATGGGGGCTGCTGCAGTTTTTCTTCTCTGGATTTCTCTCCCACGGCCAGCTGCTCTCTTCGGGTTTGTTGCTGCCTCTTCGGGTGGCTGCCTGCTTTACTGCTATGGCACCTTTTTGACCGAGATTTAAATTCCCTGTTGGGACTGTAATTTGCCTCCTGGTTTCCTGTGCTGAAACCGTGGCTTTTGCTTTGTTCCTGGCTGATTCCGTGGCTTTATTCTGCTTGGATTTTTGATGTGTCTCTTGGGATTTCGGCAGGGAAGGCTTTTGGCCTTTCATTTCTATATGGGGATTTGAGGAACTTTTGGGCTGTTAAGTTTCCCCTCTATTGCCTATATATATATGTGATATTTTGAGAGGAAATGGTTGGTGAATATTTGAGAGCAAAAATTGCTATAACCTGCGGGTTCTTCTTGGAAAAGCTTGAGAGCTTTGTCCACCTTCTTCCACCTCCTCTGGAAAGCTTGCGAGCTTCTCCTCTTTCGTCTCGGCTTCTAACCTCTTTCTTCTCTACGCAAGTTCCACTCCACCTGTATCTTTCTTCTAGTTCCTTTGGTGAAGTTGTTGGCTGTTTTAGTGAAGTTGTTGGCTATTTTGGTGAAGTTGTTGGCTGTTTTGGTGGCATTTTCTGGAGAAGTTTGAAAGGACATTGGAAACCCTTTGCTGTGGTGGACCCTTGGTTTGCATATCTAAATCTTATTTTAAAATATATTCCTACAATCGGTGCATGTGAGGAGTCCTCTTGTAGGATGTTCTGAGGATAGCCTTTTTTTTTTTAAATATTGTTTCTTTGTTAGTTTTCTTTTGTTTTGGTCATTGGAAGTTGTCTCTTTCCTATTCTGAAGTTTAGTTGTTTTCTCTAACATATTTTGTTCTCTAAGTAATGTCTTAAAGTTATAAAAGTAAGATTTGATTTTCTTTGTTGTTCTCTCTTTGTGCTTTGCTTTAATTTGCTTACATCATCATGTAGGACTTCTAGAACCATCCTCAAGTGTTCCAAATGTTCCCCTACAGTTTTGCTGTACACCAGGATGTCATTAAAGAAGACCAGGACGAACTTCCTGAGGTACTGCTTAAATATTCTGTTCATCAAAGATTGAAAAGTAGTCGGAGCATTAATCAACCCAAAGGGCATCATCAGAAACTCATATTGCCCTTCGTGTGTTCTGAATGTTGTTTTTGGCACATCGGTTTCCTTCATCCTGATCTGGTCTGGTGGTAACCCGATTTTAAATCCAACTTAGAGAATAACACAGCCCCATGCAGCTTATCAAGTCACTCATCAATCACCAGAATTGGGAACTTCTCTGGCATTGACAGAGAAGTAGAGATTGAGAGGAAGGTTGGAGGTGGCGATTTAGAGTTGCCGAAGTGTAAGATCATCGGCGACAAGCCATTGAGTAGAATGTGATTGGTGATGAATGACTTTTGTGCTAGGTCGCTGGACTTGGTGAAGAGGTGTCGACGATGTTTGTATGTTGGTGGCTAGGAAGTTGAAGTGAGGTGGCTGCTGGTTAAGGTCAATAGTGAGCAACGGTTCGAGAGAGAGATGAAGTGAGTGAGAAGGGAAGTGAGGTTCATCGGCAAAGAGTTTGATTAGTTGAGAGCGGCGGCCTGAGATAAGTTAGTGTGGATAGTTCATCATTGGAGAAGGTGCATATGGTTGGCAGTTAGCTTAATGAGACAGAGAAGTGCGGAGGAAGGAGTCATAATTCAAAAGGAGAGGATTAAAATCCTCTACTCCACATGAATGGTTTTGTTGATACTGTCATCAGCAAGCTTTTGCTATGCCTTCTTGCCTCTTCTCTATCATCAAGGGTTTTAATAGTTTAGGCAAGAGCGGAAGGGGAAAGGTGATCGACAGAACACAAGCTGGAGCCATGTGGGGTGACGGGGAGTTGCAATCTCTTATGGCGCTAGGGAGATCAACGATGGGTTGGGTTATGTGTGAGGTGAAGAAACAAGGGAGAGAGAGAGAGAGAGTTGGGCTATCAAAGCAAAGGATTTTAGAAGCAGAGAGTAAATCGAGAAAGAGGAGAGATCGTACGAGGAAAATGAGTTGGTAATGATTTTTTTTTTTAATGGGAATGGAGAATCAATATTTTTTATATGATTTTGATGCTTCAAATGCATCAGCATTGTCTGTTTCACAAAACAAATAGGATTTCAGTGATTTTCAATTTTTCCAGTGTTCTTCGAACTTAACCTGCACGATGTCACGTTCGTTGTATGACTAAATTGATCATAGGGGTCCTTTAGATAATTTCAATACTCTGAACACATCGACATTGTATATTTTGTGAAGTGGACAACTTTTGAGTGATTTCGATGCAAGTGGGGCATCTTGAAATAATTTCGTTCAACATTGTGCCCTTTGTTCATTGTTTTCGATATATTTGATCAAAATGAATTTTTAAATAGCCATAGTGGTCAACACTAATTACCATAAATAAGTGTAAAATGGTATTTGAAATTAACAATGCCTATTTTTGGTTCACTATGTTGCACCGATACGAATACGACGACACGGATGCGACACGATACGGATACGGGACACGTCAATTTTTAAAAATACAGGATAAGGATACGGCGCGAACACGGCATTATAATTTATAATTCATACATAAAAATTAAGAAAGCAATCAAATCATCATATTTAAAATTACAAAAAATGAGCTAACAATCTTAATTTGTTTTTTGTGTATTTGTGTCTAACCGTTAAGGATAAAATATTGTTATAGTTAAACCTATATTCCATACTCAAGCTACACCAAATTAGACTCATGTATAGGATGGCCTTACAATCTCACTGTTCCATAATCAGGTTAGAAAGAGTATTGTAAAGCAATCAATTCCCTTTTTTTTTTGTTTATTCTTATGAATGACTTAGGTAAATTTCTTGTTATTGACCTTTTTTAATATTAAAAGTTAACTAAATTAAGATGTTTGAGAATTAGTGGAAAATGAGTTAATATATGGAAAATGCCCATGGAGAGGTGAGGAGATGATTATTGAGCATATAGAGGCTGTTTATGAGTTATTATTATATTTTGTGGCCTTGTATAGGGTACCTCTTGGGGAACCTCATAGCATCATTATTGTCTTCTTATTTGGTTCTTTGATCCATCCAAAGGTGTATATTTCCATTTTGCCTGGATTTGGTATTATTTGCCATATCATATCAATCTTTTTGAAAAAATGGTCTTCACATATCTAGGCATGATTTTTGCCATGATCAATATTACAAGATCTTTTATTTGGACTCATCATATGTTACTGTGGATTTGGATCTTGATATACGTGCCTACTTCACCACAGCTACCATCATCATAATTATCCCCACTAGAATCAAAATCTTTTGTTGGATTGGTACCATGTAAGGAGTTTTGATACAATACAAAGCACCTCTAGGCAAACCACTGATTCCTTAAAAGGTTGAATCCCTTCCTTTACTCTTTGAACCTTTTTCATGAAAAGTTGACTCATGTACTGCCTCACAAGAGAAATTATTCTGAGCAAAGACCAGATGCAGAATGTCGTCTGGAGACCAACCAGAATGTGCCACCACGTTAGCGGTACTGAGCGGTACCGAACAGTACCAAGCCATGATATTGAGCATAGGGGTGACGTGACACATTTTGATTGGTCTCCGGATGACGTTCGGCGTCCGCACAAAATAATTAATCCAGGTATTGAGACCCCGTTCCTTCGATTGTTGCGCCATTATTTATTATAATCTTAATTTTTATTTGCAAGAATCGAACCCCAAAGCTTCATATTGAAAGGGGATAAATTATACATATATTGTCATTATTTACTATGTTATTATTAGGTGTGGATTTTGTACGTAACTTCACGTCCGTAAATGGGAGTATACAGTCGTGTGCTGTTGAACCGTGTGAGTACACAATTGCTTACTCCTGTTATTTACACAATCCGTTTGTAATGATTTCTTTCAAATTTGAGTTTTGAGCCCAGTCCTTGCATAAGGTTTATGTCGTCCAGGAGGCCCTCCTTGGTCATGGTTGCATTTATCTATTTCCCTGTTATCCATGAAGCATTCTCCAGTCATGGTTGTCTCTATCAATGGTAATTGAAAGCATTTTGTGTTCTGTTCTTTTGTGGCCCTTGGAATATGAATACATGTCGTTTTTTCCCCTTATATCTATAATTTTTTATGTTTTTTGAACTATGAGATTTATTTTCTGATTCCTTATCTTTTGTTTTGTTTTTTTTGTTTTTTTTTTAGCAGGTATTGATATCTTCTTCCTTGATGCGTCATTGGAGGTTGACAGCGTCATGCCCCTCTATCGTATTATTTGGTAGCTCCTTTCTGCAATCAGATTCTTTTTACATCTTTAGGCTCATAGTATCAGTAGTACTTCGTGTAAGATATCTAAATCATTTGGCTTTTAGGTCAACTTTTTGTTATTTATCTATACATCAATACACTAATTTTTCTCCCCACAATCAAATTTCGGAAGGGAAAGGCAAACGACCAGTAATTTGAACTGAATGAGAGAAACAAAGTTTAGATGAAGCAATTTTATGCTGATAGGATAGATCTGCTCGGTCTTCGATCTTTAAGCAGTTTAGGTTCCTGTTTTTATTTTTATTTTTATTTTGGAACGGGGTATCCATCCGCTGCCACCTCCAAAAGAGTGCTTAGCGGCGTGACTAATCTTCTTCTGACTTAGAAGAGGCACCCATTTTAGAAACCTCCTGCCCCGGACTTGATTGGGCCCCACTTAAGAGGCGCTGTCGCTCTAGTCAGGTTCCTGCTTGATTGAGGGTTTCATAAGGCGTGTACTTTGAGTGAGTAGGTTTTAGTCACACTAATATGATGTATTTAAAAGCTTATATAAAACAAATAGAAACTTAATTTTACATTTGTAGGAAAAATAATCTGCATATTAAATAGGCTGCTTGACAGTGTGCAATGTAGACCTAATTCAGCAAAGTCCCAACTGTTCAAACACCTATATATACTATGCATTATGATCTTTAAAGAAGAGAGGAGACATGTAGAAGTTAAAAGAGGATCTTGCTTGCACGAAATGGAGGCTAAATTAATAGTGGATCTAGTTAATTTAATTCTTCTTTCTCTAAGGGTTGACCTGTTTGTTGTTCTTAACTTCATGAATTATAACTACCACGGCGTTACAAAATTAAGAATTGTACAGTTGTTAAAAGTCGTCATAAATTTTGATCTTTTTTATAAATAGAATTTTGATTTTTAAGGAGAAATTTTATTTTAGATAAGCATTTATACACTTAGGAGCAATTGGGTTGATTGAAAAAAGAATGTACTGTAAAAAAAATGTAATGTAATATAAATATAGTGAAGTTGAAATATTTTAGAGTTATTTAATATAACGAATATTAAATTAACTAAAGTGATTATTTAATTATTTTTGTTTGAGTAAAATGAATTTAATGTAAAGTAGAAGATGGTGGTGGTCAGTGGTTAGTAGTGACGGTGGTGACAAATGGCGGCCAAAGGATATGGATAGTGGTCATTTAAGGTGGTTGTCAGGTAATGGATAGCTATGGTGTTGGTGATAATGGCAGTTACTAACAATGATGGCCGGCGATATGTATTTCAATTACATCAAAATTTTAGATTACATTTATTTTACATTAAGTTGAAGACTAATATTCTTAAACCATCTATATTTGCATTTGAAATATTTTACTTTCATTTGAATTTAAACCAAACAGCCCTGAAAAAATCTTTTAAAATGTTGATGAAAAAACAATTCATCAACACAAGGTGTGCAAAGATTTTCATCATTTTGTAGCCCAATTCATCCCCATTCTTATTGTTTAGGGTTAACATTCATTCTTTCTATCATAAAGCTTCGTAAAATTGGTCTTGTTTAATGAAATTTGTCGTCTGTGTCATATTCCTAAACGAACATGAAGATCGGATAAAAGCCATCATGTCAATGCTAATTGTTGGAGGCTAAAGATCCAGCACATGAAAAGCTCTACTTTTTTATTTTTTATCATGCAATAAATTAGATTAATTCAAGTTTTATATTAATCCATAATAAAAGAAAATGTCTATTCTCTTCTCTTTTTTGGAGTTTATAAGGAGATCAACATCTCAAAATAGAACTCTAATTTTTTTTTTTAGTTTCCTTAATGGAGAATAAGGTTTTTTTTTTATTTAAAATATCAGATATCTAATAAAATTTACATAGCATACTCTTCTAATTTTTTATTTTTCCTAATTAAAATAATATTTAATTTTAAAAAATAACCTTCTCTTTCAAATCGAATATATCAAACTGTTGCTTGTTAAAATATTCAAGATTGTGTAGAGAGATTTTGATATTTTAATACTACTATTACAACAACAATTTTTATTTCACTCTATGTGATTGACTACATGGAAAAATTATTGCGTCCTCCCACCTGACGTAGAGATACGTCCTCCCACCGCCAAAAAATTCGGTTTTTGCTCGGTATTGCTAGGTATTATTTGATAATAAGGAAGAATATCATCATGTGAAGACTAATACCGAGTTATATTGAGCAATACAAAAAAATACGAAATTTTTTCTAGGAAAAACTAGGTATTTTTTTGTATTGCTCGGTATAGCTCGGTATAACTCGGTATTGGTCTTCATATGATGATATTCCTCATTATTGTTTGGTATTGCTCGGTATTTTTTGCTCGATATTTCTCATTTTTTAGCGCGATTTTAGCTCTGGGAGGACGTATCTCTACGTCAAGTGGGAGGACGCAATAATTTTTCGACTACATGAATCTTTGAAGATTCAAATTTTTATTTAAATATAATAAAAAAAAGTCTATTTCTAATATTTTCTAACCAAATATTTTTATGATCATCTTTTCTTAACATAATCATATCTAGTATATTTACTCTTTTAATTGGGTCATTGGAAGGCCAACATTTTATGTGATCAAACCATCTAAGACAACTCTCTCTAATCTTATCTACAAATAGAGCTACTCCAAGCTTTTCACATATATGCTCATTTTGTATCCTATTTTTAAGAAAAAAATCATTCATCCACTTAAGCATCCTCATCTCTACAACACTTAGTATTATGATTTCTTTTAATGGCCAACATTCTCCACCATAAAGCTTTATAGGTCTAATCACCATCTTATAAAATTTTCTTTAAGTTTGATGATAACTTTTCTATCACACAACTAACCCGATGCATTCCACCACTTCAACCATCCAACTTGAATTCTACTAATAACATCCCCATCTATTTCACCATCACTCGAAACAATAGACTCCAATATTAAAAACACATACTCTTATTAATGATTTGATCACCCAATCAGAATACCCCCAATGGATCTATTAAAATTGGACTCCATATATTTAATTTTAAATCTATTCAAATGAAAATCTTTAGACTCTAACATTTACCATCATAATTTAAGTTTAACTTCAACCCTCTCTCTAATCTTATCTTATCAGCAAAAAGAATATCATCAATAAAAAACATAACAAGACACATCTTGCAAATGTCTAGTAAAAAATAAAAAACATCCATGACTAAAGAAAAAAAGATATGAGCTTAAGTCTGATCCTTGATATAATTCAACTGAAATAGGAAAACATTTGATCAAACCACCTTCCGAGTTTGATCATTTTAATACAGAGCAATAATACTGCAAACACATATATCAATAAATTATAATAACTCATATGAGATATAACATTTTTTATCTAAAAAATTCATAAGAAAAAAAAATGGTGAGGTCTAACTTAATAAAAACGACATCATTTGCTTAAGACTAACAATGAGCTGAGCCAACCAAGTAAAAGGTTGTTAGAGCTGAGCCAATTCATCACAAGCTAGTGCAAGCTTAGGTTGAGAACTAAATTTATTTTGTGTGCACATACTATATATTCCTCATTAAACATTTAACAAGGAATATAATTATTCCAGACTAACGGCTAAATTCATCACAGAAACCATTCAGCAGAGCTGGCGGACATAATACATAATACACACTTCCTGTGTAAGAAAAATAACTTCATGATCCACAAGAAACAACAGAAATCATTTGAAGGGTATGCATATTTCCACTATTTTGTAGAGAAGAACCCTTGCTTTAAGACCCCAGCAAAACCCAACCAAGCTTGTAAGGCTGTATATCTCCCTGAAAATAAGCCTTCATGGACCAAAAAACACTCAAGAATATGAACAATAGATTGAATTATATTTATGATTGTAAATTGGCACAAGCAAGCAAGGTTCTCTGGATTCAATGAAGCATAAACATCACCGAATGATTGAAGATTTGATGTCATGATGTGGCAATTCAAGTACCGGACATTAAGTGCTATACAACTGCAGAATTTTTTTTTTTTCTTGATCGAGAACTTAATACATATCTTGTAAGGAAGCATTAGATATGACAGCAGATATAAACATACCAAATGCATTAGTTTGAATCGGAAAATAAAAATTTCCCAGGGCCATCAAGAAAATAATGATGAGGGTGATGTGATGGTTGAACAAAGGAATTTGTTAGCAGTTACTGCTGGAGAAAAGATAGATGTAATAATGAAAGAGAAATAAAGTTTTATAAAGCATGATGGGCACCAACCACTAAGATCGTTCATAAACAAGGAGATAGAGAGATGATAAAGATATATCTGTCACAATGTCTAACTTTTCAGCACAATAACTTCTAGATATCTGACTTAAGCTTTATTTGGGATGGCTTTCTTCTTGTTTCTTAAAACAGTTTTTTAGTAAAAAATTAAAAATTTTGTGCTAAAAAAACTGTTTTAAGCAGTTAAAAAGCCATCCCAAACGAAGCCTTAGTTGTGAACATGACAAATCAAATGACGAGAAATTACAAGTAGAAAACAGAAATTTAGGTTGAACATTTTGTCATTCCTCGGAAGGCCAAAGGAAACATCATGAGTATGAATCAAGCTGGTAATAAAAGGTGCTTAGGAATCCATGTAACTAGACTTGTATTAGACCATGACCAACTTAAACTGTTCTGTTGTAAAAGCCACGGATTCTAACTCAACATGGCCAATCAAACGAAACAACAACACCATAGACTTCTTCAGATGGACATGAACAAACAGATGCGACCATCTATTAGTACCTGGAAGTGCCAGCAGTTAGAAAAAGATTATCCTTCTAATAATAAAATGTTAATTCAAATATCTACATGGATTAATATCGTCAAGACCTAAAGCAAGTCAGGCAATAACTAAAAGCATAAAAACCTTTATCAGTATAAGAGACAAATAAGTTTAATCAACATAACTAATTTGAGCTTCTATCAAAAAGCCCCCAAAAAAAAAAAACATAAGCACAGTAAAACAAGAACAATTTGAAAGTTCAAAAATACCTGAAGTCCAAGAAGACAGCAAAAGGAAGGGAGCAGTTGCTCAGCCTATCAAACTCCTACAAACGTGAACATAAATGCTTTCACCATTAGAGTGAAATGCTTTAAGCTGATTCTTGATATGTGCTGAAAACGTACGAAGAAGTTTCTATCTCCAAAAGCATAAGCGTGATTAGTGATTAATATCCAAAAAAACAAAATCAACCTCAACTAAGCAAACGGAGAGGGCATTTCATTCAGTAATATAATCTTCATCGGACTCAAAAGTTGTACATAAATTCCTAGATGAAAGAATCCAGCAGCAGCCCAATTGACACATAAATGGTGCGCTCAAGATAAGGGTGAGATTACTGCACAAAAAGCAACAATCAAAGTATAAGCAGCAGCAGCAGCACCTCGATTGCAAATTGCACTACAAGCTCAGCAATTTGCTACAAACCTTTATGAGATGCCTTTGAGGTGAAGCTAAACCTGTGGGTCAGAGAACTAATGAGAAAATAATAAAAAAAAAAAAACATCAATCATCGCAAAAATATTTTTGGGTATTTATAAAAAAGGACAGTACACAAACAGACTTTTAAAGGTTTCTCTTGAAACTAAAACAAAATAAAGACTGAGAAACAGGTAACAGAAACATGCCAACAAAAAGTTCAAATACATCCAACTTGCTTTTTCAGTGTACATCTGCCCTCCATAATTGGAAAAATTATTTTGTGCGGAGTCCAGACTCGAATGAAAATGCGCCATGTCTGATACCGAACTTAATACCGAGTGGCTCAGTACCTAAGCGTAAACCGGACGATTCTCCCGTCCCGTGTCAGCCCAGAATAATCTCTTCCAGAATAGACCTTCAAAGTAGTCAAACCCAGATTGCAGAATCTGCATTCAGAATCGCAGCACCATATCAATCAAGTGTAGGTAGATAGGTGACGCTATTACCATAGTACAAGATAACAATGCTAAGGTAAACCATAGACCCAAATAGTTCAAAACATCTCTCGGGCACCCTAGTGGCTACAATAATGATATGTAATAACCTTGAAGCCACCAAATTGAGTGTTTATCTCTTTCTTCCACCACGCTCCCTTAATGCTAGAGTTAAGGTTTCACCCGGAACAATATTATAATAAGCAAGAGTGAGATTATCCTTTAGGAAACCAGCCCGCCCATTCAGTTTTTGCTTATTAGCCGGAAGCTGAATCTCTCCAGCAATCTTCTCCTTAAAGTTCCCAACAGTCTCAGAAAGTGTGAGGACGGTGATTTCCAAAACTTGACCTTTCAAATTCCCTTCATCAACATTAGGAACCGATACAGAAATACGGGCAGAACCCTGCAAATAAAAGATTATTTTAATTATAGTTTAAGTTGATGAATTCAAGCCTAATCATCAGTGAACAAATGGGATGCTTGTAAGAGGATATTTTGCAATTAAAAAAATTACCGGATGCTGTGCAAGGAACTGTTCCTCTGGGATAAGTGAAGTATCATCCATTCTTGCCCTTTTGGGCTCTGGTTCATCAGGAAGTGGAGGAGGAGCTTCCTCAGGTGGTGGAGGTGGAGGCATTCCTAGAGGAAGAGGCGGCGGAGGAACCATTGGCATGTTGGGATGGGGAATAGGCATTGGAGCAAAATGTCTTGGAATTCCCAAAGGAGTAAACTGGGAACCTGGTGGAGGCGGAACAGGTATATTTGGAGGATTAACTGAGATGGGCTGGAGCACTTGGGGTCTATTAATCATAAGAGGTTGCTGAGTAGAAGTACCAGACATAGTTGGAAGGGGTGGCCTCATTGATGGAATTACTGAAACAGCAGGCCTTGGCGGTGGAGGAACTACTCCCATAGTGTTTGTAGAGTATGCTGAAACATTTGGAGGGAAGCGAGGAAGATTCAAAGCCAACCCAGGCGGAGGAGGGAGTGGACGAATTACTGGAGCTCCAGGTTTTGGTAGAGGAGCAGGACCTGGAAGAGTCCTCCCATCATTGCCATTGGAGTCAACCATCTCTTCACTGGAAAGACTCTGAGAAAGTGCCTGATTTGCAGTTCGTCCAATACTTCCAGTATGTCCATCCCATATCACCTGCTTTGGTTGCTCATCCTTCTTCTTTTCAATCTCAGCCTTGACAGCATTTGAAACTTCTTCCTCTGTGGTTCCAAAGATATCCGGACGTGTTCGTGCAAGTCCTACAATATTTCTAGAGATCTCATCGTCTGCAGCAAGAGTTGTCTCCCGGATCTTTGCCATCATCCGCTCCTTTTGCTCCTTGTATTTTGGATCTATGAGGGATATACGCATGTGTTCGGCCATCTCACTGATAGGAATCAATTCCCCTGTTATTGGTGATATAACAAACTTAGTGGGATCCCTCTCAGCAGGAATTCTATCCTCAGGCCGTTTCCAGTTTTTCACAATCCTCATTGGAGCCTCAGGTTCATCTGTTGGTCCCTTGGGTTCACCCTTTTTCTCATCAATAACATTGCCATCTATTCTTGCTGCTCTCATGCCTTCCTCAACAAGATGCATCTCCTCTTCATCCATCTCCATCTCCATATCTTTTGCAGGCTCAACACCTCCTACTGGACCTTCCTCTTCCAAACCTGATATCTTGCTCCTCCTTATGACCTCCTCAAGTGTTAATGGCACTGGAAGCTCCTCATCCTCATCATCAGCAAATTCAATGGTCTCCACCACAACAAAATCATGCCAATCAATCATTGCCATCAGTGCCCTCTCCTGCTCAATCTCATCCTCAGCCTTCTGCCTTGCTTGCTCCTGAGACCTCTCCCACTCAACTCGGTGCAAACAACGCTCAAGAACTGTTGTCATATCAGTAACACTTTTACTCAGCTTATCAGTAATCCCTTTTGGTGGCATCAGAACCTTTGAATACGCATCAGCCAAAGCAGTGAAAAAGGTGAACATGCTGTGAGTTGGTTTCAGGAAATGAAACTGGGGGTTGCTAATCTCACGACTTGTAAGGTTTGTCAAAAATGACTTTCCATTCCTGGCAACAAATTGAGCAGTGAGCTTAATAATATCCAGCTCCTCGCCGGTGATTCCTTCGGGAAGCCGAACAGTATACTGTTCAGCTTCAGGCGGCTCAAGCACCTTTCTAGGGGGAATCAGAAACTGCACGGCCGATTCTACTGGCTTTGCAGCGTCGCCATCATCGGCCGCAAGTTGTGCAGGTGTGACAGCTGCAGAAGCAGCTGACCCAGACTCAGCTGGCTGGGAAGGGTCAGATACCGTCTGCTGGGAGGATTGTACCTGAATCCGGTGCTCTGAGACCCGGTGCTGGTAGTAAGCATGGTAGGGATCGGATTGAATCAAAAAGTTGAACTTCGCATTGCCAGCGTTGTTGGCAAGAATGCGCCGCTCAAATTCAAGGCCGTTTTTAGCAACAAAGGCTGCTGTCTTCTCGATGATCATACGAATATCTGGGGGAGGATGAATAATCCCGATCGTCCGGGTGTGCGTCGCCACAGAAGCCGGAGGTAGTGGAGGAGGTTCAACGGCAGAACCACTCTGTGCATCCCTGGAATCTTCGGTGACTTGGGCCAGAGGAATCGGTCCAAGGTCACCATCGGCGGGCGGTGCAGGAAGGGTAAGTGTTGGGCCAATCATACCTGCTCCTTCCACAGGGAATATCTCGTACTAGGCAAGGAAATCAGGCTAGGGTTTGCCTACAGATCGTCGTAGAGACCGTGTTTTTTTTTTTCCGCTTATATAAACTGGTTTTTTGGATTACAAAATTTGTTTAAGGATAGAAAAATATAAGGGCTGTTTGGCAACAGGATTTATGCAAAATCCTGCCAAACGGGATTTGAGCGCCCTATAAATAAATCTCACGGCGGAATAAATCCTCCGTTTCCCTCTTTTTTCCGTAAATCCCGGATTTACTAAATCCTGTAGTTCGCCGGATTTACGGGATTTGGCCGAAGAAGCGCACGAAAGGTAGAAAGTTACCTTCAGAGCGAGCGAGCTCCCGTCGTCGCTTCCGATCAAAATGCCGTAACTTCCGATCCGACTGGAAGGGAACGTCGTCGAAGGAGCGAAGTAGAACAAAAACGAAGGAGAAGAAGAAGCAACTCGTCCAATCTTACACCCCTGCGAAAGTGCGAAGCAAGGAACTGACCAAACAGCAACGACCAAATAGAGAAGATGAAACCCTAGACATCTCTAAGCTAACATTGGTTTACTTAATTGATATAATTTAAAAAATAATAATTAAGTAAATAATTAATATTATAATTAGTGCATAAATTAATTATCTAATTTAAGTTAATTAAAAAGTTAGTAATATATTAGTAATTTAAAATTAATATAATCAGTTTAATTAATATAATTTTAAAATGAAATTATTAAATATATTATTAATAGTATAAATAATAATTAAATAATTAATAAGTAGTAGAATTCTTAAGTAATTAATAAGATAATTATTAATAAAACTTATAATTAAAACTAATTAAACTAATTTCCAATTAAATTATTTATCATCATAATTTATTAACTATAATTAAAATTAAAATTAATAAGTAACTTAATTATACTTAACATTTAATTAAATTCATAACACATTAAATTTCATTTTTAAATGAACTAATTATTTTAAATCCTGAATTATATTGTCAAACAATTCACAGGATTTAACATGATTTAACAGTTTTTATAGTATTTAACATACACATGATTTATCAAATCCTGGATTTACTAAAACCTACAAACTTAAATCCTACTTTTGCTAAACAATCCCTAAGGAAGAGTGAGAGAAATTACTTGTGTTATTGTCGAATTACCTGAGACAGGCATGGATCGAATAAAGATAGTTGAGCTAGGGTTTTTTGTGCGACCAAAGAGAGCATAGTTGTTTAAATAGTCGGAGGTCGGGGAACTTTCAAACTCTATATCTGATAACTTGTTATGATGAATGTCAGGATAGCCCGGTGTAAGTTGATCCGTTTAATTTTGATATTCGATCTTTTTATGGAGAATTTGGATCTCTCCTAACTCTTAACAAAAGGTTAGATCTCAAACTTTAACCGTTAAAAATAAAAATTTGCCTGCCTTTTAACTTAGAAATGATAAAATTGAAAGAGTTTAGAGAATTGACAAAAAATATAGCAGAGTATACATGACTTGAGAGTTGCTTGAAAGGTTGTGGCCGAGTGACAATGGTCTGACATTTAATGGTTGGGTGATGACTAAGGTTCGACAATGATGATCGGATAATTAGAGTCCGATAATAATTGGATAACGGCAATTAGACATTGGAGGTTGAGTAGTAACTAGTAGGAGACGACGGTCGAGCAACAATATTCTTACGACAATGGTTGGACAGCAAAAAATAGATGGCAAAGGTAGGCCCCTAATGGGCGCACTATACATATATATAACAACAATAAAGGGGTTGGGTGTTAAGAGCAACCCTTTATGGGCACACACAAATGCACATGTTATCATTGTAGTGGTCAGTCATGTAATGCCTCAGACTCATATTGAAAAAAAATTATATATTTATCATTTTAAAAATATATCATAGTTTTTATAAATCATCAATATAAATAATAACCTTCAAAAGCAATTAAAAAAATACATAAGCAAAATTTAAAGAAAACATGAAGATCTATGACAATCTCACTCTAATTAGTCATGACCTGAAATCATTAAAATTCACAAATGGGCTGAAAAGCTCATCAATAATCCAAAACTCACTAAAACTTTCAATGCAAGGATTAAAAAATAAATATGATATGCTCAATCTAATATAATAAATAACAGCAAATATAATTAATGACCAAATATTATTAATAAAACTCAAAATAATCAATAATAAAAGCAGATAATCATTATAATGAATCTAAAAATTAATAATTTGTATAAATTTCAATAAATCGGTAAAACAACGATGTAGAAATAATTCATAAATCACTAAAATAATATATCTTATTTATTCATATACATCATCTGTTTATGTATTATCAATGAATCCAATATTCTCAATGATATTAATGTATTTATCAATGTCATAAATATTATCAATATATACATGCATTAATGTATGATTTGCTAAGGCAAGACATCTAGCTTTAATATGATATTTTTAACATCTTTTATCCCAATTGATTCTCAATTGGTCATCAGTCATATCAACTATCACTTATTCAATTAATCAATTATCATATACAATTAATTAATTATTATTACATGTGGCTTCATTAAATCAATAAAGAGTCGCCGCTCTCTGCCCGTCGACATAATTGATCATCTATTGCATGCTACAATCGGGATAACACCTCAAATCATCTTTACATGAAAGCCCGTTGGTCCACCCTCAAGCTTAGGGTATTATATTTTAATAGTCAACCTATTTTATAGTGTTAATTACAGTCAGCCTTTCTTGTTTATGCAAATGTCACAATCAAAATGCAGTAGGAAATAATCAATTTTGTTCAATATATATATATATATATATATATATATATATATATATATATATAATAAAAATTATTTAAAACCAAAAATGAGATTTGAGTTATTACAGGAAATAAAAGAAATCTCTGAACAAAATTGGCAGATGAAATTGCTCCGAACAATCTTCTCTCTCTTTCCTCTCTCTTCTTCCACATGGCACATTGTTGAAATTTAGGATTTTCATTTAAAAAAATCGGATTATTACAGGTCAGCGGCTAGCCCAACTGCCTACACCCTTTTAGGCCCCTTTTTTAGCTCAAACAATCCATATCAGATGTTTAGGGGTCCCTAATTAAGATCAATTTTTTGGCTTTCTATACTCAATTGTAGTACCTTTAGAGTCTAATAAAGCCTTCATAGTCAAATTTAAGAAATTTTGAAAACATTAGAGTAATTTTTCTCAACAATTTTCATGCTAATCAATGTAGTGACCTAACAACATGTTGAAATTATAATTAAAGAGATTTTGCATGGTTCATGATACTGGGCTGAGATCAACGTTAACATATAGGAAGTGCTCGTATCTTGCCATTTTTTCGAGATTATAATTTTACACAATAAAATTTTCAATAAACAAGGCTCAAGTATAATTTTATGTATTGGATACCTTTTTTGAGGGCTCTGCCCCTAAACTCCCGAGAGAAGGGCTTCCCGGCCACCCTTCTAGGGCCAATTATTACGTCTTCTGACCGGACGTAGAGCTACGTTCGGCCGCCAATAACATGTCGCCACGTGCTCTTGCTCTTTACCGCGCGGCCCGACGACTTGACCCGGACCTGAACCCGGGAATGCTATGTTCGCGTATTGCGAGATATTACTCAGTATTTGCTCGGTATTGCTAGGTATTGCTTGACAATAATGAGAAGTACTACTCTGTGAAGACCAATACCGAGCAATACCGAGTTGTACCGAATTTTTCTAGAAAAACTCGGTATTGCTCGGTATTGGTTATTGCCAAGCAAAATCGACCAATACCTAGCAATACCGAGCAATACCTAGGAAAATCGAGAAATACCGAGCCATACTGGGTTCGTTCCGGGACGGATTGTCGGGTCGCGCGGTAAATAGTGAGAACGTGTGGCGCGATTCTAATGGCGGCCGAACGTAGAGCTACGTCCTGTGACCGGACCAACCCCCACGCAAATAACTTTGTGTAGCTCATATTTGTTTGTTCTACAAAAATGATATTTTGAATTCAATATATTTTCGTAACAAGCATACTTTGTGTTTAAAAATAAGGAAGCAACCGATATGTCATTAAAGATCAACTTGATCAAGCATGAATCTTAATGCACGTATGAATGGGAAGATTTTTAAAATTTAATCTATAACCATCCAAACTATAATTTCAATAAACTTATAGTGAAATTGATCCACTGGATGAGACAAATCCAAAGAAACCAAAAGGGCTCGAATCATAATCTAAATTAGCCCAAATAAAGAGCTTGAATCAAAGTTTAAAATTTAATAATATAAATTGGAACACCAAATGACCTCTAAATTTGGCATGCTTATAGTCAAATCGAGCGTACCAACCAGACGAATCCAAAGAACCAAAGCTCAATCAATTTCAATAATATTATGGCAATTAAAAGCTAAGAAAATGTTTTGAAACAAATGAATCAACACTGGCCGTCAAATGGAGTGTTCTGTATTTTCTTTGTGGACACTCTAAAATTTCTACAAATATGCCGCATTCTATACATGTGGAGGACCCTTGAATAGATATTCGAGAGAGCTCAAAGGTTCGAAGAATTCTAGAACTACACCAAATCACTGCCTTCTTCGAATATTTACCCGACCACCAACGTTGAACTGCTTCTACCCAACCTCCATATTCCGATAGTCACTTCCCAAATGTTGTTGGACCCACGCCACCAAAGCCTATCAACCCATACACACTCTACCATATTTTTTTACCAATTCTCCAAGACGAGCAAACCTTTATAACCAACACTTACATACTGAAATCATTTCCACTAGGCCATGCCCTATAATTTTTTCTCTTTTCGAATTTTCACATAAAAACTCTTATGTTACCCATTCTTTTTTACATTTCTATTTGAGTGGTGAATCTTCATAAAAATATAAGATGTAAAAACTCTCTCACTTTACTATTACAAAATTTCTTACCCACAACAATAAAGATAGAGAATGATATATTATTTAAAATGAAATTTTCCTAAGAAAAAAATAATGATGCTTACAGATCAACTTTTTACTCTTTTGAGTCTAATTAATATTGATGGAAATAAGCTATAATGCAAACACAAACTATGGTAAATACCTCTTATTTCAATTTCAATAGAGCTGAGAATCAGAGGTTTTTTAATCAAGCAACTATGAACAACCTTTTTCCTGGAAAAATGGGTAAGCTTAATAACTAAGATTAGCGGGCAATTTGAATCATTCAAGAAACCCTTCTTCAAGAAGGAGAACAATTAATGTTGGGTAACAAGTAAAGGTGTTAAAACAAGCCTTCTCGTGAAAAGAATTATTGAACTAAGAGAGTATTATGGCTTAGTTTTATAATATTTTTATGGTGGGATTCTATTAAGATATTCTGTTGAGCTAATGGAAGTTATGTGAAGGCTAAGTGGTCGACCAAAGCTGAACAATCAAGCTAGGCCAAGAGCTTTTGGTGGAGATTGGCTTGTAAACCAAAGGATAAAAGATAAAGAGGAAGTTCTGATGTCTATCAATCTTATAAAATTATACAAATGATGATAAAGAGCTTAAAATTCTCATCAAAGGACTTCAATGGAGATGAAAATTATCAAATCAATTCCACTTTAATAATCAAAGTTCATGAATACATAACTTACATATAGAAAACAACCTACACAAAATTTAAGTGGTCGGCTGCATACAAATATGAAAGCCTTTGTTAGAAAAATCAAAATAAACTTCATGAATTTTTATTTTTTAAGATGCGTGGCGGCCTATTATAATTTTCTGATTTCTTAAAAAAAACATTCACTTAGCGTTGGGAATAGGAGTGGGAGAAAAATTTAGAATATACTACCAGAATGAGCTCGCGTGGAGTTATGAAAGCTCTACTGTTGTACTGAAAATTGAAAAATTGGTGTAAGCGAGAGATTATTATGTGCAGAATCCGAAAGGGAGAACTTTTTAGATTTTATGAGTGTGCGCTGTTAAAACATAATAATTACCGTGCACATTACGCTTTTACTGTACACTCTCACAAAATCCGGGCGCAGTTCCGATCATGTACTTTTTTTTAAACATTTAAACCAATTAAGATAAATTCACACACATCACATATGCAAGACTTCAATGCAAAAACTCGTAGTTAATAACCAAAACTCCCAACCGATAAATCAAAGAGAATTATTTTTCTGAATAAATTTCAACATTTTAGATGGATCAATGTTATTCATTTTGTGCAGTAGATAACATTTGAGTACTTACCATGCATGAATAGAACTGTTTCCATTCATTTACGTGAATTTTGACTTACAGAATATACATTGGGCCCCAAGCTTTATATGAGAGTATATAGAAAATATATTATTTCACATTTAAGAATTCAATATTAAATTCAAGTAAATGCAGTAATAAAGGCCTCCCAACCGAAACCTGAACCTGTGCTGAGGTATTGAGTGAAACTAACTTGATCCTACAATCCTAAGAATACTTAGAAAAATCATTAGAATCATCCAAATATATATATATATATATATATTTATTATCATTAAAATCAAATTACTGAACCTTGAATCCACTATATCACCAGCAACAAATGAAATCCAGAATTTGGTGAATCCAAGCAAACATTACTACAATAGCAGCGCAACTATTGCGTGAGAAAATAGAACATATCTACAAAGTTGGGCTGTAAGGTTATAGTATTAACAGGAGCAACACCACCTCAAATATAAATTGACTCATCCTCAATGAGGAGGCTTGGCAGAAGGATTTGTGAGAAGCTCGAGAGATCGACGAAGAAAATCCACAGCCACTGGCACATCATCGAATGCAAGGGCACCAACAGCAAACCTTGCTGCCTTGTGAGCCTCTGCAATCTTCTCTACAGGAGGCAGATAATTACTGTCGTATTTATAGCTAGCAGCAGGAGAAATTGAAGATCCAGCAAGATTTCCAGTGCTATTGGGATTACTGTATTGTGCTGTAGATTGGTAGTTCGAAATGGATGGTGTTGCTGTTGATTCTTGGGAAAAAGGAAGATCGGTACCATGGTAGTAAGAAGGCTGGTGAGTTGGCGCAGAAGGAAAAGAGCTTTCTTGAAAGCTTGGGTAAGATTGGAAGTTTGGGTAAGAGGAAGGGTTCGAAATTTCTGGAGAATAATTTTGTGCAAATGGTAGCTGCTCATAGGAATATGACTGATGATAATTCGGTGAATAAGGTTGAGGAAACTGTGGGTAGTCGCTGGTCGAATAATCTTTGCTAGAATAAGGAGATGGTGAAGTACTAACTTGTGGATTGGCGTTGGGTGCAAGCTGAGATGGAATATTGGCTCCAGAATAATTGAAACTCTCCCTCCTTCCAATATCCTAAGGATGGAAAGTTCAAGAAACATGATGGGAAAGAATTGTAATCACCTGCACAAATGAATGAACGTGAAGTAATAGCTGAAACAGTGAAAAGAAGGCGGACCTTGTGTGCAGGCTGAGATGGAACATTAGCTCCAGAGTAGTTATCCCTTTCCGGAGGATCCTAAGGATGAAAAATTCAAGAGCTTTCAGCACAGCATTAGCAGTAGATAAAAGAATTCTAAGAAAAAGGAAGAACGAGAAGCCTTTGCAGGAAGGAGAATCAACCTGTTCTGTTTGGTCAGATGATAGTCCACTGGAAAAATTGGTTTGGTTGCTTTCATTTGAATCTAGAACCTGAAGGATGATTAAAATAAATGACATAAAATTGGTTTGGTTCATATGGTACAATGTTCTCAATACACTTCCCCATTTAAATAACTAAGCTTTAACTTAAAGAATTATGACCTTTATTATATTTTCAAATTTTGAATCGTTTTGATATTCATGCTGTATAGAATTCCTAAGATACATCAAATTTAACATCCTTATCTACATTCTTGTAAATTTTAACTAGAGTCCACATGTAATCTAAAAAAGCACTAAATTTTTTGAAAATCAACTTAGCATTCATGTCAAGAAAAAAGAGAGAATGATACATTGGTGTTGATCTGTGGAATTGATGGCACAAAAAGATCTTCATCGCCACCAGGAGGTCCTGGTTCTGGTTTTCTTCCTTCTTTTAAAGCTTTTCGTATGTCTGCAGCTTTCCAAACTGCATACTTCAGCTTTTGTTCAATCTGCAAAATACAAATTAAAAAGAAGTATTGATCCAAGTCAACTTAGTTGACCATAATCACTTTGATCCCACAGCTCGGAAGACAGCACTAAAAGGAAAACGTAATGACTGCAACATAGACTTACATCCGGTGCAAGTTCACCAAACTGAGTCAAAACTTCAAAGAAAATGCTTGCAGCATAGAAAGTTTTGGCAGTATTCCTGTTTCATACAGTTAAAACAACACCTCTGAGAATCAAGTAGAAAAAACTATCATTAAATACATACATGATATTTAGAACCAACGGGATAAGAACCAAGAGAAATGAAGCATACAGGTCTGCCCGTCCAGCACGATCTTGCTTGTCTGCCTTTGCAAAGACATTTGAAGCAAACCCCTCTGCATATAAGCTGTCTTCAGGCCCTAGTTTAAGTGATTTTTTATCCTGTCAATTGTAGCAAATTTAAAAACTGACGTACATAAAATATTAGATTAGAAACAAAAAATTACAATTCTTTGACTTCTTCAGCAAATAGAGATGTAAAAAATACAACTTATCAGTCAAATCAATTACTGCTAAGCAAAGAGAATGCATTGAAAAGAAAGAAAGGTTCATTATCATTCAATGATAGACTTCAAATAGCTCAACTTAAATTGCCATCCATGCATCATCGGATAGCAAAGTTTCAACAAAAGGGCAAAAAGATAGAACAGATCATCACTGTCACTGATGGCGACAGCATTAGAATATCAAGCAAAAAAACCCAAGAAGTAATAGCAGAACAATGTCATCACAAAGATCAAAATAAGTTAGCCAGGTACGTTCATTTGAACTTTAAAGAAAAAAGGTTCATTTGAACTAGAATTAAAAGCTACTTGAGATTTTTCCATTTTTACCAACATTTTCACAACCAAGGTAAACTTAAATGATTCATCTTATGATGAATTCATAAACCAGGCTCCTACTAAGAACCCAATTGGCACATTGGGTGTATCCAAGAGCTATGTAGCTCACCATCAGTAACATAACATCATTAGGATACCATCAACTATTTTTCTAACGGTTGGAAAAATTGATATTTTCTTCCATACACTACTGTTAAGAGCTACAGCACTAATCATCTCTTCTTAACTTAATTGTAGTTGAATCATTTTAAACGACCTCCAAATCATTTAGAGTAATTTCATCCCAGCCTTACAGTTTTTTCCTTTGCCCCGCATCATACTTGCACCAAACCATCTCAATCCTATTATGTGTTGTCCAAGCTCAATAGGTGTTATTCATATCATTGAACAAATTATCTTTTCCTTGGATTTACGACAGTCCTAGTTTTCTCACTCAATTGAAATCTGATTTTCTTTTTTAATTTTTGCATTTAATTTTTGCATTCCAACATGCAAACAAGTTAACTATGGTCGAGAGCTCTTAGAGGAGGCTTACTTGAGGTGCGAAGGTGTAGAAATCTTCTTCCTTGCCTTTTTTCCTACTCTTTCTCTTCTATCAACAAAATTTCAATCTTTTAAAAGAAGGTATACAAAATTTCAATCTTTTAAAAGAATGTATGCATTAGGCTGCCGGTTCATCAGTAACAAAATTTCAATCTTTTACTATCAACAATATTTCAATCTCACCCCAGCCGACTGAGAGGCTGGCTCAAGTGTACAGGAGGCAGAATAGTTCCGCCTCTTTGGAGCTTGCCGCCCACAATAGTGGGGCCCACTTGGAGACATTTTTGGAGAGAGGTTTGGGCGGCTAGGTTGAAAGGGAATTTTTGAATTAGGGAAGTATTGTATTAATAGTAGGGCTTGTTTAGGGTTAGGGTTATGCATGTTTTAGGTTTCCCTTGGAGTTCCTTGGCGTCTTGGCTCTAGATTTCTTTGTCTAGAGATTGGGAGAGATGATCCTCCTCTCGAATTGAGGATCACTTGTATATTGCTTTCGTGTTCATTTGACTTTGATTTCCTTGTTGCAATACAAGGTTTGGTGGTTGATTTGTGTCCAGATTTTCTGTTATTCTCGTTTTTTTCGCCAATTAGTAATAGGTTTGCTTGCGAACTCAAGTATTTCCATAGTTTAAAATTGCGCAATTAGAGGCGCGCCTCTGCGCAATTTGACCCCCAGGTGCCTTATTAGCAATTATGGGACCAGGAGAGGTGTACGTCTCATAAATCTTGAGGCGCACCTCAGAGGCACAATTGCACAATAACAGGGGAGGTGTACCCCTCAAGCAAATGGGTCCCACTCACTTAAGTGTCTAATCAAATACCTCATTCATTCCTCCCTAGTGTCACTTAGCCGATCGGAACCGCACGAAGCTGCAAAGCCCCGCACGACCCTCCCTAGCGTCCCTCAGCCGAACTTCCTGCCGCCTCTCCCCCTAGCGTCGCCTCATGCCGGTGAGCAGCACGTATCCGACCGCCCTCTACGACACCTCTATTACCGATTTTAGTTTTTTTTTTTTAATTCAAGGTTTGATTTCTCAACTTATAGAAAATTTAGGGTTTAAAATTTTTTGAGATTTTTTGTTTGATTTTGCATTTGAGCATTAAGAAACATGGTTAAAGGCAAGGAAAAGTTAAATACGTCATTGCGAAGGGACCCTTTTTGGAAGTACAGTGTACAGGTTGACATAGGTGACGGCGAGAAGACATATATGTATTTGAAATGCAATTTTTGTGATAAAGTGGTGAAGGAAGGAGTTACCCGCATGAAGGAACACTTATCCGACTCACATAAAAACGTAGCACTTTGTGCGAATGTGTCGGATAAGGTGAAGGAGGAAATTACTGCTTACATGAAGAAGAGTATCATGGCCAAACATTTACAACAAGAGCAATTTGATGATAGGGTCGAACATGGTACTTACTACGGGAGCGAGAGTGGAAATGACTCTTCTTCCACTATACACAGTAGAGGTGCCCGGGATCCTATGGACCAGTATATGATTAATCTATGAGAGGATAGAGGAAAAGCGCAGATGATGCCTGTGACTGGTACTAGAGAAGGTCGACGGCAGGTGTGCATGAATATTGGCATATTCTTTTTTGAGAATGTCATTCCATTTAATGTAGCGACATCGCCGACCTACTTCAATATGTTGCAATCTGTAGGGCTGTATGGGCGATGGTTGAAGGTACCTTCCATGTACGAGTTGCGAACATGGATTTTAAAGGAGGAGCTGTAAAACACAGAGCGGAGTGTTGATGAGATTAGAAGGACATGGAGTGAGATAGGTGTTACCATTATGTCAGATGGATGGTCTAACATCAAGAGCAGGAGCATGATTAATATCCTTGTCAACAATCACTATGGCACGGTGTTTTTACGATTAGTTGAAGCTTCATATGAGGTAAAAAACGTCGATTTCATTTTCAATTTATTAGATGGGTTGTTAGGGAGATCAGGGAGCAATTGGTTGTTTAGGTGGTGACTGACAGTGCCTGTGCATACAAAGAAACTTGTCAGATGTTGATGGAGAATAGGAAACACCTCTATTGGACCCTCTGCGCCGTGCAATGTATTGATATAATATTAGAGGAACTTGGTGATCTACCTCAACACAAGAGTGCACTTTTTTGGGTGAAGCAGATCACAAAGTTCATCTACAATCACTCATGAGTCTTAGCCTTAATAAGAAACTTCTCGATGAAGGAAATCATTCGCCATGTTACCACTAGGTAAGTCATTACATTAGTGCACTTGTAAGTTCAATAAGCATTTTTAATTTCTAATGCAAGTTTATCCTACAGGTTTTCCACATCTTATTTGACACTGCATAGCATGCTGGATGTTAGGCAACCTCTTGAAGCCATATTTACATCGACACAATGGCTTAATTGTGTGTGGGGCAAGAAACCCGAGGGGAAGGAAATACGAAGGCTGATTCTGAATAATAAATTTTGGGCAACTGTGACCTATGCCATATTGAGCACAAGACCCTTAGCACAAGTGCTACGATTAATGGATGTCAAGAAGAAACCAACCATGGGTTTTATATATAATGCAATGGATGAGGCAAAGGAGTTGATTGCACATAACTTGAGAGGAGAGGAAGCCAGTAATAGAGAGATTTGGGATATCATCGATGCTCGGTGGGAGGTCCAGTTACACTGTCATCTACAAGCAGCGGTGTATTATCTAAATCCTCAATTTTAGTATTCAAAGAGGAAATCCTCAAATCCAGAGGTGAAGCTGGGCTTATACCATTGCCAAACGCTCTCCAGGTTAGCTTATTTTTGCAAAGTAACCGTACATACATAACACTTTAATATGTTCTGATTATCGTTTGTCTTTTTGAAAATAATTGAATGGTGGATCCAATTTGGTAATTACACCCCTGAGTTATAGAGTTTTGTAGTTAGAGTTTTGAGCCTCACTTGTTCTTCCCCTAGGTGTGAGCGAAACTGAAGCACATATAGTCAAGTGTAAATGAGGAGAAGAAATCGTCTTTCAACACTCAAAATAAACTCCCTCGTGTATATTATGCACAACAAGAGGTTAAGAGATAAGAGGTTGAGGAACAAAGGGTTGAAGAAAGATGAGGACCCTTTGGTCTGTGATGATGTGGCGTTTGATAATGAGTTGTTCAAAGATGATGAGACAAATTTATCATTATTAGACATGCAGGTAGAGGATCTAGGTGTGGATGCCTTGAGGGGTGAAGCAGATGAAGCAGGCACATCCACTAGTACTGCAGCACAACAAGCAAACAAAGGTGTCTCATAATTTCTTATGTATTATTACATTTAAAATATATGCAATTAACAGCACACTAATCATTCTTATTGAACAAGAAGAGAAAGTGGGTAAAATTGAAGATGATGATTTGTCATTCATAGATACAATTGGAGATGAAGATGCCTCCATTAAAGACCCATTTAGTGATAGGACATAATTGAATTTTAGATGTTCTTTCTTATTTGTACTTTGGGAGTTCTGATACACTTCAATTTGTAGTTTTATACTTTGAATAATGTTATGAGATGCATATATTGCATTTATTTTATTATTTCACTAAGTTCAATTCTCATTTAGATGTTTTTATTGTATTAGAGACTATTACTGTTATTTACCTTCTAGAATACTTAAATTCGCATTTACGCAATTTTTCGTCCGTGAGGCTTATGCCGCACACCGCCTCGAGGCATATTTACATAATTTTAAACCTTGAGTATTTCCCTTTAGAGTTACTTGCGAACTCAAATATTTCCTATCAAATTAGTATCAGAGAATTGTCTTGGGACCATCGGCGGCTGAAATCCAAAAATTTCAGCAAGGGGATTTCATCCGCAAGAAGATCCTCTCACAAATCTTGGGAAGAAAGATGGCCATAAAGAAGGTCGAAGTGTTGGAAGGTGAGATTGGGCAACTAAATTCCGATTTGGAGGGAAAATTCTCTGATTTTCAAAATCAAATTTCCTCCAACGACGAATGATTGGAAGGAAAGTTCACTTTGATAGAAGAGATGTTGAAGAAGTTAATAGAGGTGAAGACCAATCCGGCAACATCGGAAGCAAGGAAGACCATCGGTGGCCATAAGAGAGGAGGGAATATGAACCTGTTTAGGGGGAGGGAAAATTTGGAAGTGGAGATCCTTGAAGGAGAGGACGACATGCCACCTTTAGAATAACTTTCTAGAGAGGAGACGAATATGGGTTACAAAAGAGGGAGACATTCCTCTTGTAGTGCAACCAGTCATACAAGAGTTCAGTGAGGTGTTCCAGCCACCTCAAGGGTTACCACCACTCAGAACAGGAGCATGCAATTTTTCTAAAGGAGGGGGTGTCACCGATTAGTGTATGACCCTACTGCTACCCTAAATTCATAAGGATGAAATTGAAAAGCTGATTACAGAGATGTTGGAGGTTGGGATCATTAGACCAAGTGTGAGTCTTTTCTCTAGTCCAATACTATTGGTTAAAAAGAAAGAAGAGAGTTGGAGATTTTGTGTGGATTACAGGGCATTGAATAAGGAGACTATACCGGATAAATTCCTCATTCCTGTGATTGACGAGCTTTTGGATGAACTGTATGGAGCAGTAATATTTTCCAAACTGGATTTGAAGTGAGGATACCATCAGATCCGAATGAGGGAAGAAGATATCTTAAAGATAGCGTTTAAGACACACGAGGGACATTATGAGTTTCTAGTGATGCCATTTGGGCTTACCAACGCCCCTGCTACTTTCTAGTCACTGATGAACAAGGGTGTTCATACATTATCTCCGAAAGTTTGTTCTGGTATTTTTTTATGACATCTTAATGTACAACATAACTGAGTAGGAACATTTGAAGCTCTTGAAGTTAGTCTTGGGAGTTCTACAGGAACATCAGCTGAGGGCCAACATGAAGAAGTATTGCTTTATTCAGACCAGTGTAGAGTACTTGGGCCATATCGTGTCTAAGGAAGCGGTGGCAGCCGATCAATCAAAGGTGGAGGCTATGTTGAGATGGCCCTTACCTAAGAATTTAAAGAAGTTGAGAGGATTCTTAGGGCTGACAGGGTACTACATGAGATTCGTGAAAAGGTACAGTACTATAACATGACCACTGATAGAGCAGCTAAAAAAAGATGGATTCTTACAGGGAGAGGCAGCCACATCAGCATTTGAGAAACTAAAGAAGACTATGACCACGATACCGGCCTTAGCTTTCCCAGACTTCACTCAAGCCTTCATAATGAAGACAGATGCTTCAGGATACGGATTGGGGGCAGTACTCATGCAGGATCAGCGACCCATTGCCTACTTCAGCCAGGTGTTGGCAGCCAAAGCCAGGCTGAAATAAGTCTATGAGAGAGAGTTGATGGCCATCGTTTTAGCCATCCAGAAGTGGCGACCCTACCTGTTGGGAAGTTATTTCATTGTCAGAACAGATCAGAGGAGCTTGAAAATCTTGTTGGAGCAGCGGATGGTGACTAAAGAGTATCAAAGGTGGTTGTCCAAATTATTGGGGTAAGATTTCGAAATCCAATACATACCAGGAGGGGAGAACAAGGTGGCAAATGCCTTGTCTAGATGTATGGGTGAGCTACATACAATGGCAGTGTCTGTTCCTTTGATGCTAGATTGGTTGTCCAAATTATTGGGGTAAGATTTCGAAATCCAGTACACACCAGGAGAGGAGAACAAGGTGGCAAATGCCTTGTCCAGATGTATGGGTGAGCTACATACAATGGCAGTGTCTACTCCTTTAATGCTAGATTGGGAGGTCATTAGGGAAGAGAGCGCTAAGGATGAGTTGGGGAAGATCAAGGAAGATTTACTGAGAGAAGGTGGTAGCCACCCAAGGTACTCAGTGGAGGGGGAATGGGAGGCAGACTACTGTATCAGGGGAGGTTCATGATGCCCCGGACCTCAATCCACATCTCAAACTTACTCCAGGAATTTCATAGAAGCGCAGTTGGGGGTCATTCAGGGGTGCAGAAGACTTACAGGAGGTCAGTTTAGGAGTTTTACTGGAAGGGAATGCATAGGGACGTCGAGGAGATGGTCGCTAGGTTTGAGATCTGTCAAAGGAACAAATAACTGGCTATGTCGCTAGGGGGACTACTACAGCCGTTGACATTATCGGGACGAGTATGGGAGGAGGTATCCATGGACTTCATAGATGGATTGCCCTGTTCATAAGGCTTCACGGTGATTTTGGTGGCGATGGATCGATTGAGCAAGTATGCTCATTTCATTCCCCTTCGACATCCTTACACCGCGGTGATAGTGGCTTCAACTTTCATCAGAGAGGTGGTCAGATTGCATTGGGTACCATAGGCAATCGTATCATATAGAGATAAGGTGTTTCTCAGCCACTTTTGGAGGGAGTTGTTTAGGTTACAGGGGACAGTTTTGAAGATGAGCACTGCTTACCACCCACAAACGGATGACCAAACGAAAGTGGTCAACAAGAGCTTAGAGACCTACTTGAGATACTTTGTGTCGGAGACACCAAAGCTTTGGGCCAAGTGGCTATCATGGGAGAAAAACTGGTATGACACGTCTTTTCATTTTGATTCTCAGATGACCCCATTCAAGGTGTTGTATGGAAGGGATCCTCCTCACTTAGTACACTTTGAGAGTAGTAGTACTCCCGTTTCTTCAGTGGAGGAGTACTTGGGGGATAGGGATATAGTGTTAGAGCCTTAGAGGAGCTAAAGAAATATTCCTGATAGCTCAACAGATTATGAAGAAACAAACTGATGGGCATAGGAAGGACATCCAGTTCGAAGTAGGAGAGAGGGTGTTTTTGAAGCTCCGACCATACAAACAAAAGATAGTCGCCAACAAGAGAAATGAGAAGTTTGCCCCAAAATACTTTAGACCTTATGAAATATTGGAAAAGATTGGAGTGGTAGCATATCGGTTGAAACCACCACCCACAGCGACTATTTATTCGGTTTTCCATTTATCGCAGCTGAGAAGAGCCATTGGAAATTATGCAGCCAACTCAGAGTTACCGGCAACACTTACTGAGGATTTGGAGGTAATTCTGGAACCCTTAGAGTTGATGGGGTTCGCTAGAAAGAAGATGGAGCTAAGAAAGTACTAATCAAGTGGAAGAATCTGTCTGACTATGATGCAACACGGGAACCATACGAGAGGGTGGGAAACAGCAGTTTCTGAGTTTTCACTTTGAGAACAATGTGATTCTTTGGGAGGGCGGTATTGTTAGGCGACCGGTTCATGATGAACCGGCCCAGAGGCCGGCTCAAGTGTACAGAAGGTGGAATAGGTTCGCCTCCTTTGGAGCTTGCCGCCCACAATAGTGGGCCCTGCTTGGAGCCATTTTTGGAGAGAGGTTTGGGCGGCTAAGGTGAGAGAGAATTTTTGAATTAGGGAAGTATTGTATTAATAGTAGGGCTTTTTTAGGATTAGGGTTATACATGTTTTGAGTTTCTCTTGAAGTTCCTTGGCGTCTTGGCTCTAGATTCCTTTGTCTAGAGATTAGGAGAGACGATCCTCCTCTCGAATTGAGGATCACTTGTATCTTGCTTTCGTGTTCGTTTGGCTTTGATTTTCTTGTTGCAATACAACATTTAGTGGTTGATTTGTGTCCAGATTTTACGTTATTCTCGCTATTTTTGCCAATTAGTGATAGGTTTGCTTGCGAACTCAAGTATTTCCCTTATGGTTACTTGCGAACTCAAGTATTTCCTATCAATATAATTCCTTTCTTCTTTGGATGTAGGAGTTGAGATTCTTAGAATATCTCTAAATTCATCTAGACCTCTTTTTGGGTTTTCTTTTATGATTTTCTCACAATCCCAAATGCTTACAAAATGCCCTTATGCACAAAAGAGTAAAAAGAACATGTGTTGGCCATTTAACAAAATAAAACACTTACAAGGCTTTTAAAAAGGGAAGCCATCAGATTCTTGAAAATAAAGAGCTCACATTAAAAAAGGAATTATTTGACACAAAGCAACTTTTTTATGCAAGCTTTCTCATTATTTACAATAATCCCCTCTCACTAACAACTTGGAATTCTACGACAAAATCATATTTTTTGAATTTTCACAGGTCAGAGTTCTTAATGTCTCATCATGCAAACAACAAACATTAAAAAATGTCACCATATGAAGTTATCAAACCTAAAAAACAACGCAATCAAGGAAAAGAAGTAAGAGAGCATAAATTGGGGCAATCAGAAGTTCAAAACACAGGAGGCCCACATCCAATTACATTTCAAAATTCAAATCAAAATTTAATTCAATAAAAAACGAGAAGGAGAAATCAAAAACAACAAAAATAAAGAAAATGACTACACAAATAGCAATTTTATCGATAACAAACCTTCTCAAGCTGATTCATGAGGGAAATAAGAAGGGAGCTAGTGGTCTTTGTCCGCTCCTTCTGAGGAATCTTGAGTCCTCTATCCATCGCATACAATCGACCTAGAATATAAACAAGAAATTACTCAAAACACGAACTAGAAGTAGATTGATATTGAAAAAGACGATTAGGTATTATCGATTTTTTCACAGTAGTAGGCGATGAGGGGCTCATGCTTTTGGAGCTCATCGGCTCTCTGTAGAAACGGGAGGAGAAGCTTCGCTGGTTCAGCATCACTCGCCATGACCGCTCTCCAACACTTCGCTTCATATAAAAATCAATGCAGCGAGTTAGAGAGGGAGAGACAAAAAATACTAATGAACTCATTAATTAGAGATCAATAAAAAGCACAATAGTGAAAGAAATTCGCTACAAATTTAAACATTACATAATTTATTTATTTAATCCTACATGAAATGATTAATAAGAGATTGAAATCAAAGTACACTATGATCGTGTTGCCAAGCCGGATAATTTACATTTCCAAGTAAATAATAAAAAACATGGTAAAATTGTTGATGCAATGTTAATATCAACTATATTTTCTTTAGTGATAAGCTTCTAATATCACCATTCATGATTTGTGCATTCAATTCTACACCAACAGGGACGAATCTATCCTTTTTTTAGGGTAGGCAAACTCTATAAATAAAAAAGTAAATATAAAAAATTAAATATATTTTTCATTACAGAAAATGCTATCTCCACCACAACAACAGCAATTGGTAAAGTCAGTGTCAAAACAATTAAGTCTATAAACTAGATGATACACAATAGTTTTTTGGCATTTACAATTTGCTTTGCAAGAGCAGCAATGCTAGTCAAAGATGTAAACTCATCGTTGGTACGAATATCAATAATATAAGTACATAGCTGATGTTCAAGAGACACAAAATCGACCATAGAGAAATATGTTAGATATAACTCTGCAAGACGAACTAACTTTCCCTTATCATAAGTAGAGAACATATTACTTAGATGTAGACATGTCAAACAAAGAAGTAACTCGGTACTAGTTTCAAAGAACCGATTATTCAAATCTGAAATAAATAATTTACTTGCCAATGATTTTTTGCAACAGCCACCAAAGATCTTAGCAAAATAAAACACTAAATTAACTCTTAATCCAAAGAATGAAATGTAAGGCTCCTAAGTATTTAAAGCTCTACAATAAAATTTGGGAGTTTTTGAATGTTTTGTCTTTCCGTAAGAAAACAAATTCATTGTAAAGATTGACCTTGTGGAAACAAGTGTTCTTCTTCAATTGTCTTAGATTGGTTATACTTGTTTTCCCCCTTCTTATGCTTAATGTGAGGAAAGTTAGTTTAGGAGATTAGAGAAGAGTTTTTATCTATGAACAGAGAAGCTTCACTACATGTTTCAAATATGTTAGCTACGTGTATTGCTACAGAACTTTGTTATTCATAAAAAAATCATTTATACAAAACTTTGCTATTTGAAAGGACATACTGACTGAAGCAAAATTTTAAATAACTTTTCAAAATATTTTTTAAATAAGCTTTAGAATCACAAACAATCAAAATTTGTTAGTCTCAAAATAATTCTGTAGGCTTCGAGACCTATCATGAACAATTTTGAGTCATGAACCAAATAATTTTAATTTTTCAATTATTACATCTAGCAAATTGAAGTCAAGACATCACCATGCACTTTGATAATCTCAGCCAGTTCGACTAATTCTTCATAACTATAATATTTTAAACACTATGCATAACTTTCTAGACCTATGTCCCTTCTGCATAAACCCTTCGAAAGCAAAGGAGAAAAGAGCAAACAGAAAAGATGTAATATGACACAATAAAATCGTCCGAAGCCAATCACCATAAGAAATAGCTAAAATAAATCAAGAAATTATTAACCAGTGTGAATTTCATGTTAATAGAATAAGCAAGTATTGCGATGTCTGAAGACCTAATCCTCTATATCACTGACACCAAGACTCACTGACACCAAGACACTTAAGCGAAATTCGGAAATAAAACATCAAGTTTAGAGTACACATTACGAAGATATCTTTAATCCGAGGCAATATATTGCTTCAATAACATCAAATTTTGAGGCTGTTTGGTAGCAGGATTTATGCCGGATTTGAGGACGATTTAAGCAAAATACAGCCAAACGGCCTAAAATGCAAAACCAAATCTCACGGTAAATGAAAGCCGGCGGAAAACTACCCCTTTTCGTGGTAAATCCCGGATTTCCGAAATCCTCTGATTCGGCGGATTTACGGGATTTGGCCGAAGAAGCGCGCGAAAGGGAGAAAGTTACCTTCACAGAGAGCGAGCTCCCGTCGTTGATTCCGATCAAAATCGTAACTTCCGATCCAACAGGAAGGGAACGCCTTCGAAGAGCAAAGTCGAACAGCGACGAAGGAGCCGAAGAAATACAGCGGAAAAGTAAATCGCAGGGCTTAGGTTTACAAAGGAGGAAGAATTATTTTAAATGATTAAACTAATCTTAATAATTAATGAATATTAATTAATTAGATATTAATTCATGTAAATTAATATATTTTAATGAAAATTATTATAATTAATTAATATATTAGATTATCTTAATTATAATTTTGTTTCAAATGAGTAAATAAATCTTAAACCTATTTTATTGTTGCATTTTTTATCAAAATTTTGTTGTATTTTATTTGAACTTTTATTGTTGTACTTTAATTATCCAAAAAATGTTTGTAAAATCTCTTAACCACCTTAAATCTTTAATTGAATAGTCAAACAGTCACACATGATTTTTCGTAAATGTTACCAAACAATTTGTAGGATTTAACACATCCAATATTTCATAAATTCGGACTTAGAGGATTTACGAAATCTTACTTAAATGAAATCTTGGGTGCTACCAAACATTCCCTTCTTGAAATATATTCTATAATAGAGTGTAAAAAAAAACTGATCGCACATGAACTGTAGATCTCTCGGCGAGTCGGCAAGAGGGTATGAATACAAGTGAACAAACGGTCAATTAGAAAATTTTCAATATACAGATAAGGGAAAAAGGGAATCAATAAATAGAGCAAGTGGAATAGTAGGGATCGGAGGCGCCCGTGTTTCGAAGCCTTTGTCTTTGCAGCCTTCTTCTTCGCAGTCGTAACCGTTGTCTTCGTAGCCTTCATCTTCGCAAATCTCGTCTTCCTTGTCAAATGAAGGTAACTTTTATCTAAGGATTAATCTTTCTGTTTTAGCGTCTCCATGCTACTCCACTTGCTTTATTTCTTGCTTTTTTTTTTCCTTATCTGCATATTAAAAAGTTTCTAATATACCGTTATTTCACTCGTATTCATACCCTCTGGCTAAGAATATCAAAGTTCATGGTGATGTCTTGACTTCAATTTGCTAGATTGAATAATTGAAAAAAAAAATTATTTGGTTCATGACTCAAAATTGTTCATGATGGGTCTCGAAGCCTCTAGATTTATTTTGAAACTGTAACAAATTTTGATTATTTGTGATTCTAAAGCTTATTTAAAAATATTTTAAAAAGTTATTCAAAATTTTGCTTCATAGTAATAATTGTTACTGTTACGGTGGAAACAACATTTTATGTAATGAAAAATATATTTACTTTTTGGTAGTTATTTTTTTATCTATTGAGTTTGCTCATCCTAAAAAAAAGGCTAGATCCATCCCTGCTGGTGTAGAATTGAATGCAAGTATAGAATTTAATGCACAAATCATGAATTGTGATATCATAAGCTTATCACTAAGGAAAATATAATTGATATTAACATTGCATTCAGGGGTGGATCTAACCTTAAATTTTTAGTGGGGGTGCAAACTAATAAGCAAAAGTGTAGATTTTTTTTTTCAAAAATATCCTTACAATCAAAATGTTTTATAAGGGTGTTGCTTCTCAACCTCTATTTGTTCATCATTGTACGCTTTGCAGATATGTCGGGGGTCCGAGGTGACAGCACCTCCTGGCGGGGTTCGACTTGCCATGTTAGGTTGCGGGATTAAGGGACAGCGCCCTTAGAATAAAATTTGATTGTAGAGATCTTTTTGAATTCTTTTTACAATTTCTCGTTGTATTTGGTTCATCGTTACTTAACAATAACATATTACACAATATGTTTAATTGTGTTGGGGAAATTGTCTAAATACCACAAAAAAATACATGGAGGGGACAAATACCTAAAGAGATATAATAATAATTTTTTTATTACTTAATTTCGAGGGGGGGGGGGGGGGGGGGGGGGGGGGGGGGGGGGGGGGGGGGGGAGGGGGGGGTTGCAATCGCACCCGTGGCCTTAAGGTGGATCCACCCATAATTGCTTCAACAATTTTACCATGTTTTTTTTTTATTATTTACTTGTAAATGTTAATGATTCGGCTTGGCAACACCATCATAGTCTACTTTGATTGCAATATCTTATTAATCAAAAGTGTAGATTTTTTTTTTCATAAATATCCTTACAATAAAAATGTATTTTAAGGGTGTTGTCTCTCAACCTCTATTTGTTCATCGTTGTACGCTTCACATATATGTCGGGGGTCAAGGGGGCAGCACCTCCTAGCGGGATTCGACTTGCCCTGTTAGGTCGCGAGGTTAAGGAGTATCGCCCCTGGAACAAATTTTGATTGTAAGGATATTTTTGGATTCTTTTTACAATTTATTGTTGTATTTGGTTCATCATTCCCTAACAATAACATATCTATACAATATGTTTAATTATGTTGGGGCAATTGCCTAAATACCATAGTATTTTACTATTTTAAAACTTTTATGGGTTGGGGCAATTGCCTAATTGCACCCCTGGCCTTAAGGTGGATCCGCCCATGATTGTGCATCAACAATTTTACCATGTTTTTTTATTATTTACTTGTAAATGTTAATGATCCGGCTTGGCAACACCATCATAGTCTACTTTGATTGCAATCTCTTATTAATCATTTCATGTAGGATCAAAATAAATAAATTAAGTAATGTTTAAACTTGTTTCAAGTTTCTTTCACCGGTGTGTGTCTTACTGATCTCTTATTAATGAGTTCATCAGTATTTTCTTTCTCTCCCTCTCTGGAGAAATTATTCTGTGTGGAATCCGGTTATAGAGCTATTTTCGGATGCTTACGTGGAAAGTTAAAAGTCCGCGATATTTATTTGACTTGCGTATTGATTGAGTATTTATTGCGTATTCGTTGCGTAAAATATGCTTATTGATTGAGTATTTTATTACATATTTGTTGCGTATTTATTGAGTATTTGTTGCTTATACGTTGCGTATTTTCTTCTTAATTACTGCTTATTTGTTGCGGATTTCTCTTCGTCTACAGTAAGACCAAAAAGACTAACGGATCGGATAAGAAGTCAAATGAATATTCTAACTTTTCACATAAGCACGCCAGTTATAATAATTTTACTGAATCTGAACACAACTGTATAACCGGATTCGGCGCATAATAATTTCTCCCCTCTCTGACACCCTGCGTTGATTTTTCTATGAAGAGAAGGAAGTGTCGAAGAGCGGTCATGGCGAGTGATGCTGAGCTAGCGAAGCTTCTCCTCCCGTTTCTACAGAGAGCCGATGAGCTCCAGAAGCATGAGCCTCTCATCGTCTACTACTGTGAAAAGATCGATAATACATAATCGTCTTTTTCATTATCAATTTACTTCTAGTTCGTGTTTGAGTAATTTCTTGTTTGTATTCTAGGTCGATTGTATGCGATGTATATAGGAATCAAGATCCCTCAGAAGGTTAAAAAAAAAAAGATCCCTCAGAAGGAGCGGACAAAGACCACTAGCACCATTCTTATTTCCCTCATGAATCAGCTTGAGAAGGTTTGTTATCGATAAAATTGCTATTTGTGTAGTCATTTTCTTTATTTTTGTTGTTTTCGATTTCTCCTTCTAATTCTTTTTTGAGTGAAAATTTGATTTGAAATGTAATTGGATGTGGGACTTCTGCGTTCTGAACTTGTGATTACCCCAATTAATGTTTGTTGTTTGCATGATGAGACATTAAGAACTCTGTCCTGTGAAAATTCCAAGAACATGATTTTGCGTAGAATTCCAAGTTGTCAGTGAGAGGGGATTATTGTAAATAATGAGAAAGCTTGCATAAAAAAAAAAAAATTGTTTTGTGTCAAATAATTCATTTTTTAATGTGAGCTCTTAATTTCCAAGAATACGATGGCTTCCCTTTTTTAACAGTCTTGTGAATGATTTATTGGTTAAATGGACAACACATTTTCTTTTTACTCTTTGTGCATAAGGGCATTTTGTAAGCATTTGGGATTGTGAGAAAACCATAAAAGAAAACCCAAAAAAGGTCTACGTGAATCTAGAGATATTCTAAGAATCTCCACTCCTACATCCAAAGAAGAAAGGAATTATGCCTTCTGTTTACTTGATAGTAAAAGATTGAAATTTTGTTGATAGAAGAAGTGATGTGAAACCACTAGGAGTTACTTTTAGAAATTAGAGAGAAAAAAATATTAAAGCTTTGCTCATTTAAATTTAAAGCTATCACATGAAAGTGAGTTAAGAAATTGAAAATTTTAACTTGCTCAGGCCCAAAGATATGCAATAGAGATTAACCAAAACAATTCTTTCAACGTCCAAGGTGATTTAAATGCAAAGTACAATTAACAAAATCCTACGATTAACAAGGAGAGGTTCACCTCAAGGGCCGTCTCACTCAATTATTAGTAGGTTTTTAGCGGAGAAAGAAGACCCATACGATGAAAGATATTACCACTAGAGAAATGGCGTCGAAGAACTTCGTTGGTGGAGAGGTAACCGGTGGAGATAGAGGTGGTGGATGGCCGACGATGCTCCAGTTGTAGTCGGGACGTCGACGGGTGAAGACGTGCGAGATATCAGGGACAACTCGATCCAAATAGTCTCCAATGGTGGCGTCGTCTTCAAATCCTACGTCGAAGTATGGAGATCGTAGGATGTCGAGATTTCTGTTGGCGTCAAACACGAGTCCCCACTCAAATTCGGGATCCGTCATTCGACATTGGAGTGGAGAGGGGAGGCGTCGTCTTCTTCTTTCCTTGGCTTCTCAATTCTCAAGAGAAGCAAGATGGGGGCGGCGGGAGCAGGAGGAAGAGGGGAGCCGGCGGTTTCCAAGAGGGATCCAATGGCAATAGGTTTAATCCCAAAACCTGAAATTAATTTCAGGTTTAAGTGGATTTAGAGGGATAATTCAAATTGAAATTAATTCAAATTTGAAAGGAGTTAAGGGGAGTTAATGGCAAATAATGGGAGCCCATTAAGGGGGGCCGGCGGTATGAGAGAGAGGGGAAGAAGTTATGTTAAAACCTGAAATTAATTTTAGGTTTTTGGGAGAAATAGGGGGGAAAAATTCATTTGAAATTAATTTCAAATTCATGGGTCATCAATGCATTAAATGGTGACATGAATGAGGATCCATCCATGGTGGCCGGCGGCTTCTAGAGGGAGGGATTT